CTGAGTTTCTTCCAAAGTCAAAACGTCAGAATTTATTGAGCCATGATGCAGAAAAGTCTGACACAATGGATGGCAATGATTCTAGCCCCTGTGTGAGTCCAGTTGGTCCCCAATCCCCACAGTCGCCTCCAGCACTGCCCACATCACCAGTAGCAGCCTCCCAGACATCGCCACCACCTCTCCTTTCATTACATGAAAATGGTGGGTCAGGGCCTGTAAAACTTGCCATGAACAACCATGGAGAGGATGAAGATACAGTAGAATTGTAAATCAAGGGGGGTAGGGGGTAGGGGGGGGGGGGCTATCATTTTTGCCCATTTTTTCTATCCATTATTACATGCATAATTGTATGTGTATTCTGTATTGTTTGTACCAGATTTATTTATGATAACTTTTCATGAAAAAAAAATTGATCATGAGGAAGAAGCCTTAGATTTTTCTCAAGGATGTTATTTTGTATTAAAACTTGTATTAAAACTTGAATGTTTGTGAAATAAGTATTAATTGGTGATTATTTATATAATGAAAATGCAATAGTATACTGAAATTGAAAAAAAAAAATCTTGAAGTGTGCCACTTAATATTTTGAAAGCATAGGGATGAACTATAGGCACAAAATAATCCACAAGAGGGAATATAATTTTCTATACAATACTTTCCCTTTATACCCAGTGTGAAGTTAACTTTATCTATTCATTCAGAACGATGTGTGATCTAAAACTGGATGAAGATTACATTTTACATCTTTCATATTTTAATCACATAATAGTAATCAGTCACAAATGTGCTTTATTCTGATGCAGCCATATCACCCCTTTTCCCCGCTGCAAGTACTATTCATATATTGTTATATATTGAAAAGTCTGACACATCATGTGTTATATATTGATATATTAAATATTAATGGACACCACTATTTTGCATTATTTTAGACACTTGGTTTTCATGTAAATATTTCTATACACATGCATGTAACCAGGTTTTGAGGTTTCTTTGTAACATGCCTCTTAATGTGACTAATCTAAAACATTGTATTTTAAAATATTTTATCAGAATGAAAGCATTCCTGTTTTGGAAGAATGTAAATCAAAAATTGCCACGAGTTTTCACTTACTTTTCATTGAGGCAGTTTCAAACAAATGATAGTAAAATACAGAGCAATGTGTAATCTCAATGTCAGTCATGAAAGACAAGAAATTATTCTTCATAAAACAGTTTTATTTACTACTTTTAATCCAAGGTTCTGCCTCAAAATCCATAAGCTTTGGAATGCAGCTTGGTCATAGTTTCATACAACTTATTACTTCTGTTGTCAGCTTACACCACTGTGATTGATTTCATTGAAATCTCTTTTCTTCAGTGGTTGCCAGTTGTATACCTTTATATCTGCAAGTGAAATAGTCCAATAAGTGAAATACTTCCAAAGTATTCTTTATTACAGATATAAGTAAAAAAGAAAATCCCCATCTTCTACCATTGTTGTTTATGCAATCGGGAAAATAAAGATATTTTGAAAAGCTTCATATAGGTGTGTGTGTGTGTGTTAATATCTCATGGTTATACATGTATTTTATCACTGATAGAAGAGAAAAGACATCAAAACTGTTAAACAAGAAAGAACAGAAATAAAATGAGGAAATAAATAAATAAACTTAAAATTGACCCAGTTGTACAAATTTTTCAATTGTAACTAAGTTCAGAAATTGAAATGTTCCTAGCATCAGTCATTTAGAACAGCTGGTCTCGGGGCATGGCCCATGTATACCATTTGATTCGAGTTCTGATAATTGTTTTTTATGTCTTCTAAGTGCACTGTTGGATACACTGCAGCCCAAAATGGAACCCTTTGCTTGACCGCTCTTTGAAAGTCCTCTTTGGTGCAGGAACAGTCCAGAATCTTTGACCATGTGGCTGTTTTTCTGATTTCTGAAAGTAGAGTGACCAAGTCCATAAAATTAAAATAAAAATCTAACAGCTCCCTGGATAGATTTGTGCAAATGATCGTTTGCAGAATAATTATGATAAATAATAATAAAAGGGAAAATGTATTCTCATTGGTTTGGACATTTGTTTTTGTTAGCTGCCCTAAGTTGTGCAATTTTTGTTCATTTTTTATGTACAAAGACTTCCCCTGTCCAATTTTTTTTATGTGCATAGACTTCCCTTGTCAAATGGACACTATTTTTTCATAAAACATATTATATACAATTTGTATTTTAACCTCATCTATTAACTAGAGCTGAAATTGATGTGTAAGTGATTACATGTATGCTATGGTTTATTATTAGTGTATGCTCTTCTTACTTAAAATAGCTTAGTGTATGTAGCAAGCTAGCTACTCTTTGTCTCTGAAGCTCTATCCTTTTAAGACCAGATCCATGGACAGGTGCTATGGCCTCTAGGACCATTGGCCAAAGTCCAGGGGAATGCTTTTCACAAAAGGCCTGGACTACATCTGGCTGGTTTAACTTTTCACCACCTTTCTCATAATGGGTGTATAATGCTCTTTGAAAGGTGTTAAGGAGTTGAGCAAAACTTCCTGAAAAAAAAAAATTATATGTGCAGCAAGTATTTTGTCAAGTGCTCCACATTTTCAGAGATTTTGACCTATTATACAGTAGTTAAATGTACAATTTTAATGTTAATTGTTCAGAGGAGAATAATTCAATTCATGCACTAATTGTGATTCTAAATTGTCATTATAATTTCACTTTTGTCTTTTAGTATTCGCAGTTGTTTTTGGAGCTCCTTGATAGTATCTTGCTGATCCTTTATTTTTTGGGAAATCAATTGGGCATTGCTGTTTGGGGTCCCAACATATACAATCTAAAAAACAATTGTAATTTTTATGCTTAAAGGGATAATAACTCTTCGTATGAGATCTATATTTCACAATAAAAACATTGTGAATAACTCATAGAAATATAATATATTCTGTTTACCATAAAAACGGCAGTTATAGCTATTATTCTGATATCTGAGCTTGTCTTTAGACCACGTGACCTCCATTGATGGCTATACTCTGTTAAAATCTCTTAAGAGATTTTAACAAAAAACCAAACTTTTTAGAAAAAAACGGACTAACTTTGAATGTAAAAATGGATTCAATAACCACTGGTAAGTATGGAAAAATTGTTGTTTACTCCAGGAAATTTCATTTTTTAGCCAAAACGAAGAGTTATTATCCCTTAAAGCTTAATGTGCCTTTCCACAAGATATTCCAAATAACCAAGACAGAAAGGAAGACTAGATCCGTACTTCAAAGATGTCTATAAACCAGGCATGAAAGCTCATCACATCATGCTAGCCACAAGAGGTATGAACTCCCAAGAAGGAAGTGTGCACATTTATTGATAACTTAGGCATTTTGTCTCTTTTTAATACGGTACAAAAAAATTCACAGCTGCTGAGCTTGCTTATGCTACAATTTTGTGAACTTTTCCATGCTCTCTGAAATTGGGCATGAGCACGTTTGGGAAGAAGAAAGCCATGAAAGGAAGTTACCAGGTGCACATGTTATTTTAAGTGTACTGTGTGTAAAAGAGACAAAATGCCAAAATTATCGATAAACTCAATGTGCTTCAGAAGCTTTCAGCAATGTGGAGACACATGGTTCATATTAGGATGGAAAGCGGAGATTTAAAGTGAACAAGGTCGAAGATTACAAAAAATAACAAGGATTAAATTGATGCCAAAAGAACAAGAGGTACCTTGTACATGCACCAAATGTGAATGATTCAGAAGCTGTTAATGATGCAAGTATAGTATAAGAATTATTGTAAATTATGTAATTATGTAATTATTGTAAATTATGGCCTTACAAAATTTATATTGTGTGGGGTATACCATTTTTTTTTCTTTTTACTCACATAGACTCGTTGACTGTTTATTGGTCCAGGAGTGATTGTTTCTGTGTCTGCAGTGGATGAAATCTGAAATCATAGTAATGATTTTTAATACCAAGGACAAACAATCTAATTAATCCAATTATCATTAATTTGTGAAAAAAGTCAAGAGAAGGACATTGCTTTTGGATTTTTATTTGCTTTTTACTCACATGGCCATGTTCACTGTTTATTACAGTAGCACCTCTTTCTGCAGACAATGCCTATAATCAAATTTTGAAAATGAAAGGCAGCCTACATAATTATGTAAGGCATTAATAAACGATGTTGGTATAATGTGCCATACTACTTGTGATTTCATTTGAAAACAGAAATAGAACTGATGCAAATGCATGCATAAAAATTACTTTGAAAAAATATTTAACATGATCTTAGGGAAGATTTGTATTATAATATGTTTATTGCTAGTTAATTTTTTTACTCACATGGTCACATTTACTATGTATTGGTCCAGAATTGGGTGTTTTTCTGGCTGCAGCAGCAATCTGAAAGCAGTTATCATTTTTAATTCCACAAGGGCAAAATATCTACAAGCCTGTGACAAGTTAATCCAATTACCTTTGTGTTTAAATTAAAAAAAAAATGACATGCTATTGGATTTTTATTTACTTGTTACTCACATGGCCAGGTTAAGTTTTCATTGCAGTATTACTATAATTGTATCTCTGTCTGCAGATGATGCCTAAAATCAAATTTTGAATATTAGTGAAAAGCAGCATGTATACACACAGTAACTGTGTAAGGCATTTATAAAATCACATTGATAATGATGTTGGTATAATGTGCTATACTATTTTACAGAAGTTTTTTATTTTAATGATATAAATATATATATAATTTTTAGTACAGTATACTCACATAACAATGTTCACTGTTTATTTGACTGCTACTGCGAATACTACATGTAGTAACTGTATCTGCAGCAGATGAACTCTGAAATCAAAGTAAAGAGTTAGGATATCAAGGACAAACAACCTACAAGCCTGTGCTAAGCCTTTTAATTTTTTAATTTGTGTAAAAAGTCTGCGAAAAATAAGATTGAACACACAGTATTACCATACATGCACCAGTACCTCCGATATTCTTTTCCTTTTTATTGGTGGAAGATATGAAGGGTGGTGTTGAACAGTGGTGTCAATGGTTTTGTAACACAAGTGACAAATATCGACCCATTTCTTGTAGTTAGTATTATTACTGCCAAGATCATCTAACACTCCCCATAGCCTCTCGGGGCATGGGCGATATTTTTTCGAGTGGCGTGTAAACAATCCCGTGCCCTGGGTGCAACAGAACTTCGTGTGTACATCTCTATAATGATATTGACATAATGGAGAGCCTATTGCTACTCCCGTCTTCCTTGCTGCTCTTTTATCTGGCACATTCATGACGCGTCCGCGACACCTCGAAGACTGACATAAACAACGCTTGTCCATTTTACTGTGTGTTGTCTGCAACTGAACCAATAGAGGCCGCCAGTGTTTGCTTCCGTGTGTTTTGATCGACATTTTTAATTTTTCGGAAGCAATGGGACTCAAATATCAGGTAGTTTAAAGACCGTCTGCATATGCAAATTGATTCAAATTGAATTGTATAAACTGTGTATTGCTACAGACTTCGCGAAGTAGAAGACCTGGATTTGGCTCATCATTGCTACAGTGCCAGCTATGTTGCCTCTAGACCACCGAAACGAAAGGTGAGGGAAAGGGGAAGTTTATTTTTTTCTTCCAGATTAACCGAATCCAGAACGAACGTGAATAACAGGTATACAACATAACTTAAGATAATATGTTTATGCATATTTATTGGCACATGTATTTCCCTAAGTGTGTTTTATTAAGTAAAATATATAATATTTTCTGACTGCCGCTGGCGACATTTATTTGCACCACATTGCTAGGTTATGATATCAGTTTGCTAATAAATCAAAATAGATTCGTTCCAGAGTATATCAAAGAAAACAATGCTGCAACATTTCAATCGAAATCGGCGAATGTTTTACCGAACTTATTAAAATCAGTCATAAACAGCCAACAGCTTGAATAGAACTGATTTTAAAAATTCTTTTTTGTTGTTCTTTCATCAAAATCTGTTCACAAGTTGTGCTACGTTTTGACAGACATGCAATTGGACTCAAAAACACAACTTCATTAGCAGAGGTAATTAAAAGCAATACTGGCATGATATTTGTCTGTGCATTTCAGGTTCTTGTCAGACTACAGGAACAATGGCATCTGGAGGTGGAAATAAGAAAAGACAACCAGGAAACAGGAAGAATCGGGAAGCCAATGTCGATTCCAATTTGCAGCACTGTGATGATAACAGTGTGGCCCACAATGCCGAGCATCACTTAATGCCAGAACAATGTGAAGAGCCCATGTCTACAGACTCACACGAAGCGGGAACATTTAACCAGCAGCACCTGGGGCCAGCAGCACAATATTGTCAACAGAAACAACATCAGCAACATCAACAACAAGTGCAGCATCATATGCACGTACAACATAATCCCTCAAGCCCTCATCAGCACTGCAGCACACAAGTCCATGACCATAATATATCCGAGTCCTTGCACTCGCACACGACCACGTTGTCTTCTCTAAACACAGGCTTTTCTGGTCCAGTGCCTTATAACTGGCAAGCCTCCAAAACTAATGTCAAAGACCGACTTGCATTTATGTTCAACAACGAAGTTATGAGTGATGTCCACTTTGTAGTCGGAAAAGAGATGAATACGCAGAGGATACCAGCACACAAGTTTGTCCTCTCTGTAGGAAGTGCTGTATTTGATGCCATGTTTAATGGTGCCATGGCAACAACATCGGAAGACATCGAGCTCCCTGATGTTGAACCAGCAGCATTTTTGGCATTGTTACGCTTTCTGTACTCTGATGAAGTTCACATTGATGCTGAGACTGTCATGACAACATTGTACACAGCCAAGAAGTATGCTGTCCCTGCCTTGGAGACTGCTTGTGTGGACTTTCTTAAGAAAAATCTATGCAGTGATAATGCATTCATGCTGCTCACCCAGGCTCGGCTATTTGACGAACCTCAGCTTGCTGGCCTCTGCTTGGAGACAATTGACAAGAACACATACGAAGCTCTGAGTGCTGAAGGTTTCACTGACATTGACAGAGACACCTTGTGTGTTGTACTGGAAAGAGACACTCTAGGCATCAGGGAGAGCAAGCTATTCAGCGCAGTATGCCGTTGGGCCGAGGCAGAGTGTCAACGTCACGGCATTGCCATCACCCCAGAAAACCAACGCCAGGTGCTTGGACCGGCCTTGCAGCAGATCCGATTCCCGCTGATGTCAGTGGAAGAGTTTGCAATGGGGCCTGCCCAGTCCAATTTGTTACAGGACAGGGAGACAGTGCAGCTGTTTCTGTACTTCACTGTGAACCCCAAGCCTACTGTGCCCTTTTTAGACGTGCCCCGATGCTGTTTGACTGGGAAGGAACAAGTGGTGTCCAGGTTCTGTCAGATTGAGAGTAGATGGGGCTACAGTGGAACCAGTGACAGGATCAGGTAAACTGATTTCATAAGTTTTGCAGGATGTTAATTTAAATGTTGTTGAAGGAAGTAAAAAAAACACATGTTCAAACTGTCAATGCTTTTTATTAATGATTATTTATTGATTATTATTATTAATTTTTTTTTTTTTTTTGGACATAATACTATCTAGGATATACTTTTCTTGCAGGTTTATGGTGAACAGGCGGATATTTGTTGTTGGTTTTGGTCTATATGGCAGTATCCATGGCCCAGCTGAATATGTGGTTAACATTCAGGTTAGTGGTCAGTTTATTTGGAATACTTTCTCAATATAGCACAGCAGGATCTCCCTATTTGATTTTTATTTATGAAGACCAAAAATATTCATTTATTAGTTTAGGTAGTGAGGTCGTTGACTTTGTGTAGAGACACTGCTGTGGTTGTGTGTTTGGAAGCTGGAACTGTTGCCTAACTGTGTTGGAGCATCTTTTGGGCTTTCATATATGTTATTTATTTCTATCTTGTTTTACAGATTATTTGTACAGACACTGGTAAGATAGGTGGTCAGAGTAACAGCACTTTTCAGTGTGATGGAACCAACTCTACCTTCCGTTTGATGTTCAAGGAACCTGTGGAAATCTTGCCCAACATCAACTATACTGCCTGTGCTACTCTGAAGGTGAGCACAATACGCAGTTATTGTTTATTTATTTATTTTTCCTGTGTTACATCTGCTCAGAAAAATATCATTTTAAAACAACACTTTTTTACTCCATTTGCTTGAAGACATTTGAGTCTTTATGTATGCAGTCTAATTTTTTCCTCCATTCATCCATTATGCCCAGTAGGATAATGCCATGAGAACTTTTATATTTTTCCTGTGGGAAGCCTGTGTAGGAGGGCAATAATGCACAATCAGATTAAGTGCTACTTTTCTCAGACCAAAGTTCTTTATTTCATAAACATTTAAGGAGATTGACTATTTTTTTATGATTTAAAAAAAAATTGTTACCTTGAGTTTTTGTTCTTGTGAATTTGAGTTGATATTGTACACTTTTAGGGTCCGGATTCCTATTACGGCACAAAAGGACTGCGTAAGGTGACCCACGAGTCCCCCACCAGTGGCAAGGTGACATTTCAGTTCACCTACGCAGCAGGCAATAACAATGGCACATCGGTTGAGGATGGACAGATACCAGAAATCATATTCTACACATGAGGACATCTTGAGGATGAAGAAGAAGGCAAATTATTGGCATGAAGAACTCCTTCAATACTGTTGCGGATTGCATTGTAAAAAAAAAAAAAAAATATATATATATATATATATATATATATATATATATATATATATATATATATATATATATATATATATATATATATATATGTTCTGTGTGGTGTGTTTGGATTCCACTTTGTCAAAATGAGGAGATTTTGAGGCTGTCCTTGGCTGGGAATATTTTCATGAAAATCAAAATAGATAAATTAAGGTGGTCATTTGAAAGAGAAAGCATTGAAATTGAGATCATAATTTATCTTATGGGGTATTTTGTGCCATTAATATGCCTTCAAGAGAAGTTTTAGCTTCAGACAATCTAATGTACAATCAATCCTGAAAGAAGTTGCCAATTTAAGAATTATATTGAATTAGCATTATATGGGATTGAATTTAGAAGAGCGATTGGATTGAAAATGGCATGCCAACCAATATCTTTGTGCTGATGTGCAATTTTATTGAAAGTTTGATGTATTCATTGGAAGGAAACTAAAGAATTTTTTAGAATTCTTGACTTTGTGGGCTTTTTTCTAATAACCAAGAACTTTGGGAGCCAAATATGTGCAGCTTTTGGAAAAAATGTTGAAAATGTATGTATTTCATGCTAAGAGCAACTTTTTTTGAAATGATGGCTTACTTTTTAAGGACCAACAATTAAGAAACAGTTTCTTGGCTTAAAATTTATGCTTAAGCTAATTAAGGTCAGCCCTTTGAAGAAGGTACTTTCAGTGCTATGTAAAGTTGTACAAAATGTCTTTTGCGTGTAGTTAAAAATTGTCAACAGTAGTGGGTATAAGTAACTGAGTGCTCTTCTCTTAATTGCATCATTAGAATTTCAAGCCAACTCTTTCAAATTTCTTATATATCCGCACAAAAATTTTCTAAATATACCTAAATTTGAAAGGAATGCCAACAAGTTCTTATTTTATAAGACTTTCATTAGATGTGTTTGGGTGGCTTTTTAGTGCTTGGCCCAATTCTCTAATGTAGGCATCAATTTTGAACAATTAAAGTTGAAAATTGGTTGCCAGCGCCCAAGTAGTGGACAAATGTTGCTTGTTGCTAAGATCATGTGCAATTAAACTAAAGTTCAGAATAGCTGTAATGAAATCATGTGTGTTGGCAATTGGACAGGTTACATGAGCTAGTTTGAATACAATTATATTCCTTCCTTTTTTTTTGTTTTTTCTATTAATTTTTCACCTTGTCAAAAATTCTTAGACTGATGCTAAGAGAATTTCAGTATTAAATTTTCTTCTATTATATCTTTAAAATTTACTAAATGTGTTGTTAAATCTCTATTGTAAAACATCACTTTACAAGTGATATTTAATCTTTTTTTCTTTTTTCTGGATTTGTTGTTGATAATATCTTCATGAGGTATAAACAGAAAACAAGACAGTTAAATGTCTAAACATACTAAAACAAGACAAATGGTTGTACAATCATTATTGAACTCTATTGCAAATAAACACAACGTCAATGTACCTGTAAGTGTGTGTGTTTTATTTTGTATCTTTGGATTGTAAATGTGAAAATACCAATTGATGAAAATATATGAAGGTTTATATGTTCTGCATTACTACAAGTATAGTTGTCAAAGTTGGTTTTACTATTTTCATAAAATTGAAAGGTATAATTTTGACTGCATGATCAGTAGACCGTTTAATTGTTTCATTATGTATGTAGCTATGTAATTTTGTTCTTGTAATATGAGTAAATATGGGGTAACTTGAATGGTCAATTAATACCTTGTCTAATGTCACAGAGATACTTTTCTTGTATACCCAATGTCATTTTCAATTCATTCATTCATTCATTCATTCATTCAATCAATATATCAATCAATCAATCAATCAATCAAAAACACATCTTTTTTCAGACCATCAAAATCCTACAATGTACATTTGAAATGAGAGCATAAACAATAAACATACCAAATAAAAACGTTTATCATCCAAAATTCACGGGCGAAAATTAACTCCGATAAAAATTTTTGACACCCCAAAATCTTGTTTTAGTATCGGAGCACAACATTTTCACTTTTTAACAAAATGGCAACTTCCTCACCGGCGGGAGCAGTTGGAGTCTTGACCCCTGTTTCAGTAGGTTACTTTGATATATTTAAGTAGAAAAACTCCAACAAAATATCTTTGATTTAATGATGTGCGCAAAATATGTAAATATACTCTAAGCGGCTTCTCTGTGCTGAATGAACGCAATGTCTTGTGGGCTAGAGCTTTTTTTGACAAGACACTACTTTGTTATAAGTTATATACTTATAACTAATAGTGAAATGTGCATGTACGTTCATAATATGCGTCTAACATTAACTATGGATCCTCGATTAGCAGAACAGTTTACAATATGAATAATCTTTTTTAAGCTCATTGATTTCCTGTTTATAATATTAGTATGGTAACATCCACATGTAGTGCTTTTGTTATTTCATACATTTCAGTATCCTGTAGAAGGAGCTACATTGAGTCTTACTACTAACTGATAATATCACATTTTCTATTTTTTTTATGAAAGGTAAGGGTGCAGCAAGCCCTTTTGAAGCCTGTCCATCAAAGATGTCAGGAAATACAACATATTCTAGAGGAGACAAGCACCAAGGTACTGCAACAAAATAATAATAATAATACTTTTCCTCCATATTCCTCCTGTTTTTCTCCTATTGCGCTTTGCTTCTAGAATTTCATCAGTCATCCAAGGTTGTAAATCTCTTTTCACGACATATTTCATTTTTGTTGGAGCAAATGTATCAAAAGGTGAACTGTTGCCTTGAAATAATTGTGGATGCCAGATACAGATTGAACACCAGCCAATTAATACATCCAGTGCTAGTGTATTTCTGCACAGACAGTTGTTTTTAACGAGGAGGGCACAAAATGAAAGTTAAAATTTTTGAATTTTTTTATTAACCCCCATTCTGTTTTAACATTTTTCTAACAGTTAAAATAAACAAAATGAACTTTGAGGTACAGATATACCTGAAATATATTTCTTTTTGACTTTGTCCAGTATGTTCTGTGTTTACAATTCAATGCATGCCAGCTCTTTCATTTTTAAATGTCCACATATTCACATGCACTCCATGGACATTCCCACTACTAAACATGGATAGCGATGTGTTAAATATTCAGATGTGTATTACACTTCAGGACCTTCACCAAATATTCCCTTATCTTGTGGAGAACATCTTTGGGTTCAACAACCAGCCTGGATGGGGTGTGGGAACCATTGCCAAGAGCACACAGCAGCTGGATTATGACATGATGCGTCAGTTCTTGTCCCCAGGTGGTCCACTGATACGCGTTGTATACAGACTACAGGCTGACCCCATGTGTAGATATGATTTTCCTCTGTCCTGTCTGCCAGTAAGTACAGACAGTGACTCAAGTTCGCATGCAAGTGTGCATTCTCGCATGCACATGCGTACGTGCTCACACACACACATTGAAGTTTATACAAAGAATTTGTGGCCACAAGGCTTATTTAGTAACTACATACAGCTCAGCATGGAATGTTTGCTGTGTATCTTAAAAAATTTAATTTGTACTTTATAGTAGAAGAAAGAAGCAAGAAGAAGTTGAGAGTTCAGTGTGAAATTTGATATTTTTGTAGAGGGATGTCTCTTTGTACACACTCTGATATAATTTCCCTTGCATAAAACATTTTGCCTTTGCATCACTTAAAGATTTTGTGCAATTGTCACTGGATATAAACACAGAGAGAATATCAAATAGGAGACAAAATGACTCATTGAGGAGTAAAAGACGCATGGCAATTAAAAGCCTTCTCAGAAATTACAGCATCACCATGAATTTTTTTTTTTTTTTTTGTGTTGTCATATCAAGAGAGATCTTATAAGTTTGGTATCAACCCATATTTGTCCTAACTTAACATTTCATGATTGCAGTTCCCCACAAGGCAAATGTTTGAGGACAACAGCTACCATGGTGCAAGTCACATTCCAAGACAGCCTTCAGCAAGATCCCTATGTATCCTTTGTATAATCCACTTAATTCAGTGTATAATGTTTATGCAACATTGGTCTGATGAATTGGTGAGCTTTTTAAGAAGTACATCAATGGTATATTTTTTAGAACTTCTGATTTACTGTTATTTACTTACTGGATTGAAATAATTGGATTTGATGGGTACATAAATGTGGTGGTATAATTTGTAACTTAGTTGGATGTAAGAAGATTTAATGTGAAGTGTGTTTGTCCCTTAACTTGTCCCAGCTGCATTTGAATTTTATTTCTTCCATTATTTCTACCTGTGTGTTAATCCACAACAAAGGGTTAGTACCTGTTTAGCAGAAGTTACTTTATCTTATACAAAATTTTTTTTTTTAATGTTGAATTTAAGTAGAAAGGACAATCTGGGGAACACAAATTTGACTGGGTACCTTAACCTTAAGCTTGGGGTATTTTCAAGGTTATAAATATAACAATTGTGAAATTTCAATGTAATTCACTGCTTAATGACTGAAAGTGAAATATCTTTAGATTTCACTGTTTCATTTATTAGTACTTAATCATCTGTTATATGGCTGGCTAACTAGTATTTATTTGGCACTTTAAAATCTTTCATGGTGACATATCTTTTCATCTAGCCAAATTACACTTGCATCAAAATATGTTTTGATAATGACAGTATTTGATATTTGTTTCAGAGTTTCTTTAACTGGAGTAATGCCTCGGAAGCATTGTTCACAAGTCTGCTGGAAGATTATCTGAATTGTTTTTTGCCCCTGAAGGGTAAAGTTGTTAACCCCATGCCAACAGCTGCTTCACCAATAAGAAGTCCTGTTGCACACAAGACACACCTCCACAGGTACTCTGATATAATGGAGGTTTTAGGAATTAATAAGCATGTACCAGAGCAGTTTGACATTTAGTAGTGGTTGTGATATTTGGCATTTTGAGAAATTTGATGTCATGTGATATGTGAATGGTTTATCAGTGGGGAGGGATTTTCTTTGCTTAAAACAAAAAATGAACCTAAATACCAACCATTTATCATCATGAAACCTACACGTCCATTATGTTGCACAAAAATATTATACAATTGTTGTTTGTATGAAGAGCATGGTAATGAAAAATAATGAGGCATTTGTGTCTATCTTTATACCTTTTCCAGACAAGGCTCTACGTCTGGATATCACAGCAGTGGCAGCCCTGGGCTGAAACCACTAGTCAGCCTGCTGAAGTCTCCACACAGCCCCCACCATCAGGTGCAGCAGAGGAGCATCCCCTACCAGGTGTCCACCACAGATCCACTGGACCAGGAAATGTGGCGATCAGAAACTTTTGTGGAGGTAACTTTTTCTGGGTGGCCTTTACACAAAGAGTTTTAGAACTTGGATTAGACTGCTAAAACTAGATATCTGACTATGTGAGGTTGGGTTCGTAATTTTGGTTAAGGAATGAAAAATTGATCTGCAGTAAGTGAACTTGATATGCCCAAAAAGGCTGTTGTCACAATTGAGATAAAAAAACTTTTGTCAAAACAATCATAATTTGTTTTAGTTGTTAGGCAATAGACTGGAATATTGAAGACTGAAAGATTGAAGCAGGTTGCTTATTAGATTCTTTGTAATGTACAACTTCAGTTATTTGAAATACTCTGCAGAAGTCAATTTTGAACTTGTATAATTTTGTGACACAAGACCCTGACTCCGTGGTATTTTGTGGATGATGCTGGAAATATAAATGTGCATGTGTGATTCCTAAAATATATATCCTTTTCTTTTAAAACTAAATCAGCTTTCAGCTTTCAGATGAAAGTTTTGTTTTAATTTCCTTTCAGATTCTTGTGGAGTTCTGGTTAAATCAAAACAGTCTGGACTCTCCAGAACACCATGGTGGGATCAGGCAGGCCATGGTTAGTATTAATATTATTATTATTATTGATTCTTTTGAACTATTGATATACTGGCTTATTAGTTTGAATATTTTTCAGAATTGTAAACAAACATTTTCAGGGTAGATTTTGGAAAAATCAGCATTGCAGTTGTGAAAGATCATTGACTGTGCTGAGTATCTGTCAGGGCTCAAGTTGTGTATTTCCAAAATAGTATAGTAGTTTAGGATCAATATAAGCCAAAAACAGTTAAAAATTTTCAGGTTTGCCTAAGATACCTACCAGTATGCAATTTCTGAATTAGCACAAGTTGTGATCAACTACCTCACCTCACTTTCATATTGCAAAGATTGCATCTTTTTGAGCATTTTTTATACCATTGCTGTCAGTCTTTTGTCATTTGCATAATCAAATGCATAAGGGGGGTAGGGGATGATGTTTTGACAGAAAAAGTCCTATGTCTTCGAGTGATTAATGCCCGTCTGTTTCTTTGCTTGTAAAGGCCACTACCTATCAGGTCATATCCCTGCAGTACATTCAAAACCTTCAGCTGCCTATTTTATTTTGTCTTATTCCTTCTTTTACTTATATTTTTTTCAAAGCTTAAATCTAGTATAAAATTGTACTTTTATTTTGAAAATTAACATTGAACAGTTAAAGAAGTATGTCCACTTACAGTTTTTAAATCTTCTTGTACAGTGTGTTCTTTTTCTACACCTCCTAGATTGATGGCTATCAGAGAGTTCTGTCATACTCAGATCCTTATTATAATCATTTTTATCGAGTGAGTATAATGGTTTCCTTTGCTCAGTTTTTTGGGAATTATGTAACCAGACACTATACTTCTTTTGTTTTGTAGCATATATTAATGTGTCCTTCTCTAAGTGCTCTCAATAATGCTTTACTGCTTTTACCCAATTTTTGTTTTGTACCCAGTTTTTCATATTGTAAATCCAGTATCCATGTATCTACCCCTGTCCTCCTGGGACATATTTAATATGTTTTCATTTATCCCTGTCTGCTTGTACTACTATATGCATGAGCAATTTTGAAAAAAAAAAAAAGAGTTTATTTGGCCTTGTTTTGTGCTTAACTGTGGTAAACTTTTTTGACAGTATACAAAGTCTTGGTTTTTATTATGTTTGCATGTCAAGATCCCATACATATTAAGCAATATATATACTTGTTCTAAATGCTCACAATGTATTTCATACATATGCTGCAATTGCATTTATTGATTCAGTTCAAACTTTTGTTTTTATTGATCATATTGACTCCTTTTTGAACCATCTATTAAAAAAAACACCCATTTTCACCTATAACCTCTTAACTGTAAAACACGTCAACAAAAAGTGCGATAATCCATAGCTGACACACAGAAGCTTTTTGTGGGTATGTTTGCAGATGGTTTGTTTTTGTTAGATTTTCAAGTACATAAAGATGAAAATTTGTGAAAATGATGAACTGTCAAATAAATGTACATATATATAACATGTGCCCCTACACAAGTCATTGTATCACGCTTTCCAGGTTACCTTTCTCTTGTTACCTGGCAGGAGTTCATGGACTTACGGGTTGCTTTCAACAATTGTGAAATGTTTTCCATTCATTATGTACTATGATATATGTTTGCCTATCTTAAGTCACACAAACCTGTCTTGCTGGGAAGCAAGATTGCTAAGAATGCCTTTGGAAGAATTTTGGGGGCTGTGCATGATTTTGCATTATGTTTGAGAATAGCTTCTTTTTCAGTTTGAATCTTTTGCATATCCTCTTTTCTCTAGAGTGTTATACTTGGTCATTTAGGAAATGGAAATACATTTGTACTGTTTCTAAAACTTAAAAGAAAAAGGGATGCATTTTTCTTTCAAAAGATATTGAGTTTTGTAATTTTTGAAAATTTTATTACTTTAATGTGTTAGGTTACAACCCTTTTGAACATGTAAAATTGTAAATATATATTTAAGTATTTAGCATCTGCTGAATGAACCTTGGAAAAGCGCATGTTGTTTGAAAGTTATCTGTCTGTATCAAGAAGTATACATGTGATTTCTTGAGAAAGGTAATTTCTAGCATCAGATAATTTAGAGTAGACCCATTTGAGATACTTGTATTATTAAGGAAAGGTTATTGAAGTAATTTTTATAAAGCCTTAAGGCTTCAGTTATTTCAGACAGTTGAGTTAGAATCTTCATGTACTTGAACACCATGAAGTGTATGTCCATCCCAACTAACTTAATTGTATTCCTCATTTCCACATCCACCCATTATAAAACGGTGGTGTTGGGGCATTTTAACCATATCCAGCAATATTTCTTCCAAGTAAAGGCTGTTTAAAATCCATGTCATTGGTGGTGATTTATCATGTAGATGCTTTTACAATCAGGAACATTGTACTTCCAGGAGGTTTTTCTTCCCAATAGTGACCAGGTCCGGGTTGTGCGTATGTTCATCAAGCACCTCCATTTCTTTGCTAACAGTGCCTCTCCAGACCTGGTACTGGCTTCATACCAGGCACAGAACCTGTCACCTCTGGATGAATTCAAGAGGTCAGTATGATGTCACACATCTGGATGTAGCTGCTGCATTCAGACATGGGGAGGGTTATACAGAAAAGTAAAGTTTGAGGACAACATAACTCAAAAAGCCAACTATTTAAATTCTGCTTTCCGATATGGTCTTAAAGCACTAAATAAACATTTTTTTGCCTCAAAATGAATATACTTCGCATACCTAAAGGAGCCATTGTCAGGACAGAGGATCAAAGACTATTTGTTCTAGAGGCTTGGTTATCGGGTGAAAAAAGGGGAAATATCCAATAAGATTTTTTGTGGAATGCAATCTGGCATGCTAAGCTCCATAACAGTCTTTGCTAAGAGTGATTTTCACCTTGGGGACTTTGTGAAAAGGGACACAAACTATTTAAAATCAGAAATAGGTCATTCTTACATTATCATATTATTTTTAAATAGTGGTAGACATAATTGTAGATAATAAGTTAAAGTAATACTTACTGTTGCAGGAATGTTATTCCACAGATGGTACAGAAAAAGTTGTATGTTTTCCTAAGGCATGGCTTTAACCACTGGCCTCTTGACTCTTCTTTTAGATTGGTAAGATCAGCACTAAAGGTTTGAATAATAAAAAATACAACATTGTATTGTATTTAAATGGTATATTTGGAAGTAGGGATATTGTTTATTATGTTGTCATAAGGGGGGGGGGGGGCTTTAAAGTCAAAGATACAGTTCAAAGTATGTGAGAGAAAAATTCAAATATCTCAGTGATAGTGTGATAATAAAAGAGACAACTTGCTTTTAAACATGTTTGTGACATTAAAACTAAGAATAAAAATTGTCTGTTATATACATACAGTCATGTACATTCAATAATATGCAAATTCACATAAGCTCATAACTTAAAATTGACTTTGGGGTACACCTATTAAAGCAAATTCATTTTCAATCCACAGTTGTTGGAGACTTGGCTAAGTTATGTCCAGCCTTGGCGCTATGTTGACCCCAATGCCATCATGAAAGAGAAGGAGTCAAAAGTGGACAACAAATGGTGAGAAGAATCTAGAGCAAAGCAGAAGTTTTGGATCTTCATTTGCATTCAGACAAGGTTTTATAAGAATGGAGATGGATTTAAATTGCACCTTGGATACAAGTATAAACATAGCCCTGTCTGAACACAGCTTTAAACATCATCGGCTGATCATATAAGTGACGGCCCATGGTCTCTCTCTGGTATTATTCTCTGTATTTATGAAAGTAATTTGGATTACCAATATTGCCTTGTCTTTGTGGAATGCAGCTTTATTTTGTGTATTTTCTGCATAGGTAAGGTTCTGGATTAGCATTATTCTGAATCCACAAATTATGTTTGCTTTTAATTGTATTTAATATTAAGGAGTTGTTCCTTGCTGAGTATACATTGCTTTTTTTTACTTTTCTCAGGTTCCAGTTTATTGTGGATAATCTGCTTTTTTACACACACCTGTTTCAAGAATTTCTTCACCGAAGTCAGCGCATGGATCTCTCCTCTGCCAAAAATGCCTACATGCTGTTCAGGGTCACCAAGGTAATGTATCTTGCAGGGATGAGACTTTTTCAACTATCAGCAGATTTCCAACTTTTTGGGAGCCAAACATGTCATTGGCTCAGGCATGGAACCCATATTAGTATGTAAAGTTAAGATGTGTATTTCAAGGTTGTAGATTTTTTTTTTGTTGTTTATGGATGAGGCCTTGCTTTCTCTTCTTCTGCAGGAAGAACATGAAAGATCACTAATTCTCTCTGTTTCAGGTGTTTGGACTCCCTAATCTTCGAAATATGTTGGAAGAAGGTGAGTAAAGCAAAGTTTTCTCTCCACCTCTCTCCATAGTTGAAGGTGGTAGTTGGGAATTTGTTTGTCTAGATTTTTCACTTGTGTTTAGGTCAATTTTTGTGCTCGTGAAAATATTTACATATAGTTGGGTGTGTAATGTGTAGCTTTGTATATTTGATTCCAAGTTTGTTTTTATTGAGAATTTAAAAAATTGTCTTTTATAACAAATGAGAAAAAAATTCATTTGGTATGTTTCTATAATGTAATTTTTGTCTGGCTATCTCCAACATGTTTCAGTCAATTTTATTGAAACTTAACACGTTAAGCACTGTTTCAGCTGGTGTGTGCCTGTAATAGTGGATAGTTTCCTGAAAGGCTCTTCGTCAAAGTTAATTTTAGATTTTTCAAACAGCAGCTAAAACTGATGAGGGAATGATGAAGGTGTCTTCTTAGGCCCTGAAATATTGCAATGCTAATACTTATAAGTTTTAGCTCTTGTTTGAAGAAGCTCTCAGTGTAACTTTGCCCAGACAAAATTATTTAGTAGACTCTTAGACATTATTTAGATTCTGTGCTATTCCAGCCGAGCATCAGATGTACGAGTCTCACCACAGGCTGTCCAGGCGTGGTCCCCAGATGGACATGGGCTCCAGCTACCTGTCCCATAGCAACTCAGTGAACACAGCAGCCATCCTTAGTCTACAGTTTGCAGAACTAGAGGGCCCAGCCTTTCTTTATAAACCACTATTTGAAGAGGGGACCAAAAAACAAGTACGTGTTGTACAATTTAGAGAAAATGTGTGAGAATGTTTTGGGATTCCGTTCTCTTCACTGACTATGGATTTCAGTATTTTTGTTATTCATTAATGTGATCCTGTTGCTTATATCTTTATATCAATATGTTTGTCTTTCATGTCTATTTGTCTTGGAATACCAATAAAATGAAAGCAGTATGTCCAGTTTGGTTTAAATGTAGAATATCAACAGTGAAAGCAAACATGAAGATTTAGAATGAGAGCTTGGGTAATCATTTTACCAATTTTACCAATCTTAAAAATGGCATCAATTTTAAAATTAAACAGATACCCCCTCCTGTTTTTGTCTTCTTGCCTGGATTTATAACAATTAAATATTGTTGGATTTGATAGTTTCTTTATAATTTACAGATAGAGTATCTACTACAGCAGATCCTCCACGCTAAGTCGACCTCATCCTCAACACACAAGTCCAGTGACGGGGGAGGATCTGGTGGGCTGTTGTCATGGTTGGGATATGGCGCTTTGGTGGACTATAATGCTACCAAATTTACACAGACAGGGTTTCCCGAGGAAGACCAGAGCAAGTTAGTTTTCCACCTAGAGCAAGCTGCAAGGAATCTCTGTAACTTATTTCAACTGTCGGTTAGTATATCAGGAATAATATATTCAAACTACCTAGAAATGATGTTATATGTCACTTCAAGGTGTAAATGACAAATATGAATAAATTTTAAAAAAATTAATTCTCATATTTTTGACCAAAATGTGCCAGAAACCTGAGACACTGCTTCTTTTGCTGTGCCATTTTGCCATGGTTCTGGTTTTGTACTGCTTTGCAATGTTCATGATTGTCCTCTGGAGTTCTTCTAAGTCCTGTAGTCCTGAAGTGTCCTTATCTGCCATTGCAGGGAAGTGTGCATCACTTTTCCCAAGGATCCAGAGCATATTTAGAAGTAGAAAGTATCAGTAATCTGTATAAATCCTGAATGAAACATGCTTCTTTGGACCTTGCAGTGGATCCCCAAATCAGCCTTCTCTCCCTTGAAGAGGAGTTAAGAGGCTGAATCCACCATTTAAATATTAAGTGCTTTCTGGGAATTTTCCCCATGTTTCAATGTTTCAGAAAAATAATATTTGTATTTCAGATGGAATCGGTGGAAACCATGGCAACGTCTGTCACACCTCCCAATGCAAACAGCAGTGCCAACAAATTTTCCACTCAGTCCCTGCCCCCAGACTTCATAGAGTCACCCACAGGACCTGTGCTAACACAGCTGGGGAAATATCAGGTATGTTTTTTTTATGTACAGACACAGATGTGTCTGTACATATAGCCGTCATCTGCGTCTGTCGTCGCCGTCGCCGTCGTCGCCGTCGTNTTGTTTTCTTTTGCTGTTGGCACTCTGGGTTGGGCAATCCATAAAAGTACTCTCTGTCTGTCTGTTAACCCCAGTCATCACGTCATTAACATCACAGCTTTATTGATAAAACCTTGAAAAGATTTTTTAAAAGTTCTGAAAAGCAAGTGGAATTCATTTGAAGAATGATGGCATGATGAGAGACAAGAAATGATAATTTTTGAAAAAATACAGTATATTAAGAGGTGGTATTAATTGAATTTTTTGAGTAGTTACTGTGATTTGTTATTTGCTTCAGCTAATGAATGGTCTCCGCAAGTTTGAAATTAGTTACCAGGGCAACCCCGACCTTCAGCCCATTAGAAGCTATGAATGCGCCCCGTTGGTGAGAATACTCCATCAAGTCTCTTCATTCCTGAATAACAAGGTACAGTGCAAAAACCTTTTAACCCTTTGACTTTAACTTTTTAACTATGATTGTCATCCTTGAGAAACCATTCCTGTAAATTCTAACAAAATTCTTACTGTTCTGAGTGTTCAAAATATCACTTCAAAAACAATTTTCCAAATCCATCAGCTTGAGCCAGAAATCATGAAATTTAATTCCTATGTAGAGTTTACATGTCAATTTTATTAATGCTGTTGGAATTGAAGGTCACATTTCCCCCAAGTTTTAATCTAAAAGAATTTCCCAACCTAAGGAGAATTGCCTCAGAAAAAATTGACAACACACCTGGAGAATGTGAAACACAGGATGTTATATGCAGAAATCTGCTGTCATACATAAATATGTACATTTATACAGGCATCACTGCTGGACCTCTGTACCATAAACATACATATGTAAAAACCACTTTTTTAAATACAATCATATTATATTTTGGTTTATGAAAAGCTGTGTAAATTTTAGAAATCAAATTCCAAATTTAAATATTGACAGACTTTCTCTCTTTCAATCAACATTACATGAGTAACAAAGTAAGCATTTGACTTAAATACTAGAATGAGGGTAACGGGAATTACTGATTGAATTGCATCTGGTAACATCACTTTTTGAATTAGTTTTCAGACAAAATTCAAAATTACTACACAAGGGATGACATGGTGGGAAAAATGACTTTCATATTATTTTCACCGCCCTCGGAACAGAAAGGTAAAAAATCAAGTTTTGTGGCATCACCAACAAGAACAAAAGACTGGACCACACCGAGAATAAGTTTGAGATTTTTGGCAAATTACCAGACTCTGGGCTACCTGATGGGAGGATATTTGTTTTTTTACATGTTTTTTGGAATGGGACCTGTAGGATTCAGCTTCATACTGATGCTTGGACTGCTGTTGTCAGTTTTCTTCAGAGCACTGGTGTTACCAGCTTCAAAATTTAAGCAAAGTTAATATTAATGTTGAAATACAAGCCATGCCATAGCTTCATTACAGCTAGTCACAATGGATCTATCATGTTGTTCAGTCAAGTAATATTTACAGATCATGGAAATTGTGATAGTCAATTATCAGATCAATACTCATTTAGTTTATTTGAATTGTATTTTCCTGCCAAACAAGTCTGAATACAGCTCTTTAATTTCTAGAACTGCTTACATGTAAAACGTCTAAGTAAATCTCTGTTACACCTCTGTGAGGTCAATGCTACTTACCCTCACATCTCGGTTGTCTTAAAATAGAAAATCAAAGTTTTATACTGGATGTGGATGCATTTTCAGTTCTCCCTGAAACTCAGCGTAAGTTATCTGCACTGTGGCTTAAACTAATATCCGGATGCCCAGAAAGAAAATATCCAGTTTAAAGACTGTACTTTTAATTACTCATTTATTAAAATAAAATATTTGGTAAACAAAAATTCAGAGCATCAAGAAAAGTTCCTTGTGTATCTTTTTTTTTTTTATGAACAGAGAACTGATCTCAGTTAGAGCTTAACAGCTTATTTTAAGCCAATAAATGAGATAAAAGTTAAATAAAATTTTCTGCACAATACATTGTATCAATTTTTTTAAAGAAAACAATAACTGACTATCAACAACAGTAAACTAGAAATGGCTCTTCTCTATTCAATGTAGATTCTACATAACATATTTATAACACAACTTTTGTGCAACATCTGTGGGATTGAAGTTGGTCAACTTCTTTCTTTTTGTTGCCCTTTAAAATATCAACATTAAGACTGGCTAACCACTTCTGTATTTACATACAAAGTGGCACTACTCTTTGCTATTAGCTTCTGCTCTCCCCCTGAAATCAACTTATGGCAAAGAAGGGGGGGGGGGGGGGAGGCTGGATGGATGGACAACGCCTTATCCTCCATATCTGTCCAGGCCTATCTCTGTACTTTTAAAACTTTTTTCCACATGAAGAGGCCTAATTCTTGAGAAGCATTTTTCTGAAGTCACTATTACTGAGTTTTTGTTCACTGGGATTATCACTGGGGGCTCTGGCAGAAGTGTCTGACTTGTTCCCAGCTGCTGCTGGCTTGCTGGGCGCACCACGGGACTGAAGAGCTCTGGGTACCATAGACAGCTGTGTTCTTGCTTTGCCTCGCCTGGAATAGTACACTGTCTCAATTAATCTCAGATGATTATGTGCAATAGGAATGATGAAGTATTATCATGACCTATATTCTATATTTTTCAAAAGTAGTTGATATAAAGTTCCTGACCATAAACAATTCCCACTGCATTTCTCTACACTGTATTCTGAGTTAAATATTATGTGGCAATTACAAGCATGTACACTAGAAATTTAAGATCCCTGATTTTTTCTGCCTAAAATCTTCTCCGTCCATAACCAACCCTGTGAAAAAAAAAAATGAATCCCAAAAAATCATAATTATATCTAAAACATACTCTGTTGTTTCTTTCTTCCCTCCACCCAAAGAAGCAATAAATGAGCTTGTCTCTCTCTCTTTCACTGGCACTTTCCTTTGAGGTGGGTTGCTTATGGCCACAGAGATGGTGTGATCTTCTATCTGAAGCCCATCTGTTTTGAGTACTGCATGACCTGCATCAGCCTGGTAAAAATGAAAAAAACATTTTTTAAATAATAGGAATGTATAATACTTTTTTTGTATGTTTTATGAAGCATGATTATCAAACACTTGTGAGTGGCTAAAATTTACAGACTTCACAGAATTTGTTAACATTCAAAATAGTCATGAGAAATGTGCACCTTTTTAGCCTTCACTTAAGACCCTCAGGTAGTTACGCTTTGAAATGACTTACCTCATTCTCATATTCAACATAAGCAAGTCCCTTTGGTGCTCCACTTCTATAAGTAACCAGGCGGATTTCTTTTAATTTGCCATGTTGGCCAAAGATAGTGCGTAATGCCTCCTCCGTCACAGAAAATGGTAACCCTTTCACAAATAACTTGTTCTTTTCCATACTGGATGAAAACTAAAATGAAAACCAAATGGGTTTTAGCAAATATTTATTAGATGAACAGTAACTACCAATCTTTTTATATGACTACGGTGATAAGGATTTTTAAATAATTCATAAGTTTTAATATTTCTAATCTCAACCTCTTTTCTACCACTTTCCTATTGAATTCCAATCCTAAATCAAAGGACAAAGCTATAATTTTACCTTGAATTGTTTAGTTTTGTGGTCTTTATCCATGCAAGGAGATACAAATACAGGCCTCCCTTCCACAGATAGTCGGTCCTTTTTTAGGGCATTTTCTGCTGACCTGGTCGTCGTGAATTCTATGTAGCCATAGCCCTTGGAAAGACCCTTGAAGTTCTTGATGAGGCGGACATCAACTATTTCACCACACTGTAAATAATTATTTTGAAACTGCAGTAATTATGACAATTTTAAAGCCATTTTTTACCAAATGTCAAACTATGCTTAACAAATCTTTGCTAAATTTCATTACCTTGCTGACACATTAATTTAAGTGTTTTATTTGCAGTCTACACATTTCATTTGCTCCCTGACTCATACTTTCCAACTGACAATGAAACATTCCATTTGATGTATTTGATGTATTTGAAAGAATATTTTAAAAGGAATGATATTTGAATGCTGCAAAACCAAGGCTTTAAATGGAAAAATAAAACAATGTCCAAGAATACAAAAAAAAAACCTGTGTGGTAAATCTAATCTAGATTTAAACCAATGCATGTAATCATCACAACTAAAACATAGCATAACATAACAAAACAAAACAACAAAAACACATGTTGTATTGATATTTGAACTAAAAATTCATTTTGGCCACTGATAACCCACTCTAAATAGTGTGCTTCATCTTTTTGTGTTTACTGATAATCTGAACTTGGTCAAGATTTTAAATGTACCTCACTAAATATGCCTTTGATTTTATCCTCTTCCACAGAATATGCCAAGTTACTAAGAAAGACTGTTCTTTCATTGGCACCATGCTCAGTCACATCTTGACAAATCTGAGATTCAGTCTTTTCTGATGCTAGAAGAAAAATTGAAAAAAAAAAAAAGTATGATGTGACTGCATTGACTAAAACATACACATTTCTCAAAATGACCCAGGCATAGATAAATAATAATCTCTGGATAACATTTCCTAATAATTGTTTCTATTTTGAAAAAAAGTATGTCATTTGTAGTTGTAATAAAATAATTGCAAGAAATAATAACAGCATACACATTAGTCTACATGTATAATGTTCCCTTTTTCAACAAAGTTAAAGCTGCAAATTCATTTCTCATACTGCCTCCTGAATCAAACAGCATAAAATATTCAACACTACATAACACACAAAATCATATTAAGAAAAAAAAATCAAAATTCTACACCAATATAACATGAAACTTGACCATTATCATTTGTGTTCAAAATTTACTTTTTATACTTTTCCAAGGTTGGATCATTATCATTTGTGTGCAAAACTTACTTTTCATCCTTTTTGAGGGTGGCTCCTCAACATCTGTCTGCCTGGGCTTGTACCCAGGAGGAGGTGGAGTTTTGAACACATTAGGTGTGGGTTCTTTGGATGGAAGGGATGGGGTGGCTTTCTCTGTTGTTTTCTGTCCAATGGGTTTCTTTGGATCCTTTTTGTCTAGCACCGTTGGAATAGGTTGGAAGCTCTAATAAGATACAAGAAAACCAAGATGCCATTATTCAAAATATGTGGCTCTTAACAGTGTATATGCAACAATATGAAACCGGAAGATGCTTATAAATATATCAGTTAGTTATGCTGCAATGGCATAAATTTGTTCCTTGGTTTCATTATTAAACTGTAAGCCACTTAAAATTTAACATCTTAAGTTTTGAATTTGTTTGTCTTAGGAAATGATCACTTGTGCGAAAGTAGAATGGCATTAGTTTAACAATTGTGAGTTTAAATGATTTAAATTTACTTGTTGCTGTTCTTGCTGTTTCTGACCCCCTCTTGGTTTCTGTGGTTTGTGTTCTGTCCTTTTCCCTGGCTTTTTCTCCATTCTGTCCTTTTTTGTATCTTCAAATGCTTTCTTTTCTGCTGCCTGAAGTGAAAAGTTACCCATTCAATTTATTTTTCAATCAAATTATGTTGAGCAGAAATGAATGCTTGTCTTCTGAACATAAATTAAAAAAAAAAATGAGATAATTTATTAAACTTGGCTTTAACTTTACACATTTGACATATATGGTTACTTTTGCATCAAGTGCTGGATTTTGTTGGTGCAAAAGATATTTCCTTTCCAGTGACAAAACATATATGGTATCCTATATATATATATTTCAAATTTTTCAAAAGAGGAGGGAGCTTTAAAGAGGCTTAAAATAGCAAACACAGACAACAGCATTGCCAACTTCACTGAGAAGTATACCTTTGCTCTTCTTTCCTTCACTCTGTTCAGCTGCGCTGCACACTTTGTCACTGCAATATCATACTGGGATAGGGTACCTGAAAATCAAAGAATTATTTACATTATTTAGTTACTTTAACTTATATAGCCCTTGTTTAAACAGAGCTAAATTGGCATTCTTCTTACAACAGAACCACAGCAAGGGAGTTGAACAATCATTAGTTGTTTCTGTCATTCAAAGTACGGAGTAATATCCTTAGTTTTTAATTCAATCAAACAGGTACACACAAACACAAAGAAATATATAAATCTTTATGCAAACATCAATATGACATTGTGACTTCAACTAAACATGTAGTTTAACAACTGAATCTGTACCTTCTTCTCTCTCGAAGTTGATGTAGGTTTCACACATCGTCTCAGGCCAGTCATTCACAGAGTTCACGGCTTGCTGTAATAACTTCCTGCAATGCTTGTTGTCACCATGTGCTCTTTCTAAATTGAAATATTCCATCCACATTTGTGCTTGGTTTCCAAAGCCAGCAGTCATAATCTGATTCCACAGCTCTCTAGCCTTAGCCATGTTCTTGCATTGTTTTGCCTGTAGAAAGGAGAAGATTGAAAGGTATTAGGCTGACAATCACCAAATAGCAAAGTTAAATGCATTTGCTTTGCCCAAGTTTGGGTTTTTGTCTATAACATCACCCATCAATTTGCAATTTCATGGCTACACCATTTAGGACAAACTCATTGCTGAATATAGATTTTAAATAAGGAAATCCAAGAGGTGTGGGCCTCATGCAAAGTGTGTGTTATTCAAGGTCACATCACATCCTCTTAAGCTGATATTTACCTCTATCCTTGCCCAGTATTGCTGAAGAGTGCAGAGGGGGTCACCGTCATTACCAAAGGCTGAAATGACATATACACATTCATCATCATCAAAACTACATTATATATCAAGTCTATATCAAAATATATATCTATTATATACCATTATTTAGTATTAGGTTCATTTTTAAATTTAGTGATAATACTATTACTTCTTGCTTGTGTATACTATGGCAAGGCAAAAAATTATTCAGGTATTCATGTGTTGGTTAATATTGAAAAGCAGTGATACGTGGGGGTAGAGCATTTTTTTTCAACTCTTAGTATTCAGTTTCAACGATAAGACATTAAGCCAATTCATGTATCATTGTAAGCCTAATAATTCTGTATGTTACAACCATACTTAATTGACAACCATTTTCTCTAAAGTATTAAACTTTTACATTCACCAAAAATAAAAAAGAAATAAATAATAAAATAATAATAAATAAATAAATAAAATGGCTTACCTGTGTATAAATAATCTATGGCTTTTTCACATTCATTTCTGAATTCTTCTACATTCTGCATATTCCCTAAAGTTTAATTATACACATATTTCTGAATTGTTAAGTCTCAAATTCAATAAAATTTACTCAAAACCAAATCTTATATCAAACAAAAGTTGAAAGCAATTTTTCTGTGAAAGCACTCCATACAAAGAGCTGCTAAGTATCAAGACAATCTGCACTGGACTCCAAAGCTCAGAGCGCTCAGAGATGATATTCTCTACTCATACATTTACTTAAGACACCAATATGGACAATGATATCAATTCAGCAGAACTGCCACCTTAACCATACCTTCTTCCCATTTTATTTTCCTTCTCAGATAATCACAATAGGCTGTATATAGCTGGAGATAGTCTGATGCTTGAGTAAAACCCATAGACAATGCCTTGTTCAGGCACTCTGAAAATACACCCAATCCCATCTTGAGATTAGAGATGAATGGTGTGTGCACGGATAAATGTACATATTAAATAAAATTCCAATAATCAGATAACTTAATATAAGTTTTATGTTCAATATTTTATTTTTTGAAATACAATGCCACACCTTTTATAGTTTCTTGTGGTCTCTCTGCTCTTTCTAAGGCCCGTAAATATCCAGTCCACAATTCAACACACCATGGACAGTTTCTCACACCTCTCTCATATACTTCTAAAGCTAGGGATGGGATCTTCAAATCCATGTCCTGAAAATATCACAAGTATAAAGCAACAGTGAAAAATAGGTGGCATTGACATGGATGACATGGATAAAATGCCTCTTAAACATTTTGAAAAGGTTAAGATTTTAGTAAACCTAGGTCCAATGGTTGCTGAAAAAACTTTTGAAAATATCATGCTGAGAACTCACCAAATACTTTGTGTACTGAACCCAGAGGTCTGGGACCAGGCAGTTTTCTTGAATGGCCCTTTCAAATAGACACTGGATACGACTTGGGTCAGACTGTGTCAGCTCAAAGTCAATGTAACTCTGGTACTCTGCCAGCCTTGGGATGTCTGCTGCTAACTAATAAATGTATTTTTTTTTTGTTAATTATGTTTTGCTGTATTAGATGTATTAGACTATGGCTGAATCCCGATCTCTACAGAGTCATAACATGAGAACTACAAGCACTTAATTTACCTGCAATTGTACTATTGACTTTATATTACATTTATTCAATGAATCTTTAAAAAAAAGTCATATGCTTAGAACTTGCCTTTTAAACTTACTATGGCCAACCAAAACCATGATTAAATCAATAAATTACCAATGCTTCTTCATATGGTTTTAAGACTTTCAGCTTTGCCACAGCTTTCTCATATGCCTTTTGTGTTTGGACATCAATGTCATCAGAGACCCACTGTTGATATTCTTCATAGGTATCTTCCATGTCTGCAACAACAAAAAACATCTCTGCAAGATGTCTTTAAAAGAATGCTATAATAAATTATTCTTGTATCTTTATAACTCTTTACCAGTGATTACTGATCACAACAACACTTAAACCATTTTAATAAGAAATAAATAAAACACATACTTCTAAAAAAAAAAGACTTGCATTTTCATCATGGTGATCATTAAAATGTGAGTCTGACAAAATAATGACCTACCCATAAGTGGTACAGCCAGCTGCCGCTTGAATAGGGTGCTAATGCGATTGATTTGATCTTCAATTTGGGACTGCTGCTCTGGTGATGGTATGCTGCCAATACTTGGCTGAATAAATAATAGCACTAGATAAACTTTTATTATCATTATTATTAAATAGTGTCTGTATAAAATAAGGAATTAACTTTCAACAAAGGAGGGGTTTTACTTCATTTATGTGAGCAGTTACTTTGGTCAAAGACAAAGTTTTCTGGTCTTCTGCTGGAGTAGACAGATTAAGCTTGGTTAAGCCTAGGTCCCAACCGAACGCTTACCTGTAATCCACTCAGAATAGCATTTTCAAATTCTCTGTAAGCCTCCCAGAGACTTGCCCCTTTTGTCATATGAAGACCACCTGCAGTGATAGCTCTTTCAAATGTGCTTCTTATGTGGTCTATGCCTCCTTCTTTGGCCATTTCTCCAATGGAAAACTGAACATACTCCAACCACAGTGGAATAGCTTCATAGCATTGGAAAGAAAGAATTTCATAATCAAAATGTAACTAAAGGTATACAGCATCTGCAATGTTGTCCTTACAATACTCGATTCAGCTAACTAATAAATATCAAATCAATTAGACAGGGTAACACAAATAAAAGGGTTATTTTTCATGCATGATGAAAGAACAGATTTAAGTTACTGGAGTGCTTTCTTTCTTTATATACAGTGTACAAGGCATCCCCTCTAGAGATAGAAAACCAGCAATGTCCAGGTAATCTGATATAAAGCATTGAGACTGGTAGGTCTAAATGACACTTACAAAGATAATCCTGTACAGCTTTGTCAAACAACTTGGTTACCATAACTCTTTCTTCGTCACATGAGATCAGTGGAATTTCATCTTGTAACCAATCAGTCCAAATCTCTAATGAAAAACATCACAAACAAAATTACATTTAAAATAATATATTTTACAAAATTAAGAGACTTTTTAAAAGTTTTAAAAAATTATTACTTTTGGAAAAAATATCTTCTTTTTCAAGACTGAGCATGGCAAAGCTTGTAAATATAGTCAAGTACATATACATTGGTCAATATGCATGATTCATTCAATATCAGAACAATTATTTACAGAAATGTAAACAGCACAGATGTCATGAAAAGAGTATGCTATCCAATCACCAATGAAAAATAAGAAACAAATTAAAATATACCTTCTGTCAGTGGAAAAAGTTCACTCATAACTTTACGGGCTTCTCGTAATTGCTTCAGTTCGCCACACTGTTTTAAGACCTTAATCAACTTCACATGACCATCATAGTAATAGGGATTTTTATCCACCTGTTGAAATATACAAAAATAAATACATGTACACAAATATCTTAAGCCATTACAAATATGTGACATTTAATTTCATCTGGAAAAATCGGCTCTAGAGACTATATTGCAAGCCTGCAAATGACCTCAAGTGTGACTATTGTGTTCTAACATATAACGTTACAAAAATGTATCTTGGAATTTTCAACTTTGTTAAAACTTTATCTATAAATATTAAAATAAACAAACCTCCGACCGGAGTTCTGTGATTTGCTGCTGTAGCTCATCGTCTTCATCACTTGATTCATCAGACTCGGACTGGTCTTCTGCAGTCTCCATCCTTTCTGGCTCCTCCTTGCTGCCTTCACTTTCCATAATTCAAAATTTTACAATCAGTCAGTCGAAGTAAATGTCAATGCTTGACGCCTGTCACTGTGTCAGTGCAACGCCGTTCAAGCTACTGAGTATCCTGAAATAAACACTAAACGCTCCCCTTGTGCAATATAATACTATCAACTTGATATTATCAAAAACCAAACGTTAATCTTCGTCAGTGTGAAGTAAGCCGGAATATTTTGCACGCCGACTGCACGTTGCTCCAGCCTTGCAGTGTCAACTTCCGGTAGTGGCGGTAAATATTTGCGCATGCGTGACGCAGATAACTCTACAGACGAAAGTGAAAGTGTCATTTCTCGTTACTATCTATTTGAATCCACCAAACACATGTAAACTCTATGCCGATCTGTTTTCGCAGGTAAATTAAAAGAGAATATTTAAACAAGTCCTGGTCTGTAAAAACTACTTTTCTTTTTTGGGGGCCGTACGTATGCATTTCACCATTTTACAAACGCCACGATGACTAAATTATACAACGAAATATGACCCCCCTTCGGTTTCTGAAAAATATATCACACCAATATTCCCCTCTTGAAATTAGAATTTTGACTAGCTAAATCATAGTTCTAAACCGTACCAAAGCTAAAGGGCACTGTTTGCTCTCCAAAACATCACAAAATTTTCGGGGGCCTTGAGTAGGCCCCGAACCCCACACCAGGGGGTGGGGGTGGGGGGCGATGGTCGGCTTCTCATCCGAGGCCTGTCGTTCCGGAACCCCCTCAAATAATCCTGGATCCGACCCTGCCTAATCCTCTTTCGAGATGGAGACTTATTGTACCTTCAAATAAACTAGACTATAATTCAAATGAAAACGATTTCAACAGCAACCCCTCAATCAAAATGTGCCAAACCCGTTGTAATTTGCATAACAGTAAGTCGCTCAGCGCAGTGCGCACTACTCCTATCCTCTTGACTGGTCACTTGACAGCTGGACACCGTAAGGACAGGTCGCTGATATTTGTGATGAAGTCGCACAGCCGGGATTTTTATTCAGCTTCGAAAATTGCAAAAAAATCGTAATGTGAGTAAAAGTTTTTCATGTTTTTCACGAGTTCAAACTACCAGATAATAATTTCTTATTATTTTGCTCCTTCTAAACTTTAAGTTGACCTGGGTAGTTGACTGGATATGAGAAAAGATTCATAGTGATATCTTTAAAATCTTGAAAAGCACGTGCTGCAAGTTAAAACATAAATATAATATGAAGAAAGTTTTAGCCCAGATGCTGTCACTTCAATGTCACTCACTGTGCGAAATTAGGCCACCTGAATATATTTCGTATTTTATACACTTCCATAGTACACGTACGTGATATATTCGTGTGAACCTTCTCAGATGCCTACATAACAAACTGATCAGTATAACTGTGCATTTAGTTTTACCAGTATTTTAAAAAGGATTTCCATATTTTCAGTTGGAACATTAACGAGAGAAAACTATGTAAGTTTTTCACGATGACTTGTACGTTTGTGTATGTTAGCCGTCTAGACTCCATGTGTGTAAATGTTAATTAATTAAAACACTGAACATTAAGTCACTGTATGTAAGACAGTAAATAAGGTGTTTTGGGCGAAGGGTGACAACATCCTTAATTCCTTAGTCTTTGACTGGGTTCCCATACCTAGATCGATCTAACAGGATCGATCCATCTCCGAGGGGTTTCTCGCTAATTTGCTTTCAGCTTACGCGGCTTAGACGTCTGGCGCGCCTACTTAAGCTGCTAAACAATTTATTACCCCTTAGCAGTTTCAGTAGGCGTGACAGACATCTAAGTCGCTTAAGTTGATTGCAATTTAGCGACAATGCCCTCGAAGTTAGATCGATCCACAGTTAGTACGATAGGGTCTGTGAATGGTCCCTTTACCCTGTAGACGCTTTCGAAAGTATTGACCCATTATTTCTTGTGATTCTTCTCATCGTGAAATATCAAAATATTTGAATCTTGCATACAAACCGTTTAGTCGATTTTTCAAATTTGGTGTCCAGTTAGCCGCAATGTGATTTTTTCGGCGTGGACAGACGTTTATCCATTTTCAGTTTATCTAATCTTTATTCGGATTCTCAGCATTCGAAGATTGAAATATCGCCATTTAAATGTTATTTTGATATTTCAGAACTGCAAACGCCTTTGCCGAGATCCTGCTGAGTGCACGTGCGCCTGACTAAAGATTCCCTGGTCTCCGAGACGTATTTTAAAATCTGCCGCAGATCCACATCCATTCGCACCGCAGATGCTATTTGTTGAAAATTGTACATGGTCTCTCTCTCTCTCTCTCTCTCTCTCTCTCTGATTTTTAACCACTTTTTAACATATTGAAACAGAGCGATCGTGTTCCCTTTAGAAATTTCACTTAGAAATCGTTCCTTTGTTTTTTAATATATATTATACCCTAGGGACTGACCATGATATTTTTAAAATTATACCTTAGGGCATGCTATGTACATCATTTTATTTGGAACCAATCCAGTTTCTTTTAAAATTCATCTCACTCTGCAATAGTGCAATTATTTAAGTTTTTATAATGGCATGATGTTATTTCCAGAGTGTGTGCAAATCACAAATTTTAAAGTTGAGAGTAAAAACGCAATTTTCACGATGTTGAAGCTTGAGTAAGATTGTTTATTTAGCCAATCAACTACCTTATCATATTATTATAGTTTGCATTATATAAGTCATTTTTTATTCTTAAAATTTACACTTGTGAATGACAAGCAATTTATGAAAATAAATGCGCTCTTTGGGGGTAGTTTTTGATTCAATCTAAAATACACAATTTAAGTAAAATTGATATGTACTGGATTCTTTAGAAACTATACTATACTCTATCTGGAATGCATTTTGTTCTCCAGATTAAATCTAAAAGTGCTTTTAAATTTTGTAAATGAAAAAATTTGAAATTTACACAAAGCAGTTTCATTATAATGGTACAAATTAATGATATAAGTAAATTCTGTAAGTACCAATTTTCAGATTTATCATTTCCGGTCAAATTCAAACGGTTAATATCGTCTGTCGGCCTATTCTTTGTCCAATGAATCCAGTCCTGTTCAAAGACTGTTCTATTTCCTCATTATCTTTTATTATTTGACCACACGAGTCCGCCAGTAAGTATTTAATTGTTTATTCGTGGTTTTCTGTCATTAAAAATGTCATATAATAAATAATACATTAAAAATTTGGTCTTTGCTTGTAGATTGAAATGAATAATACTCGTATGACTGCATTGCTATGAGTGAGAGAAAAAAATGTCTCGTCTTTGGGCAAGTCTATCAAATATGAGGGGTGAAAGGTTGGAGTCCATTTGATTTGAGAAGTCAGATGGGGCGAGTTCACTCCATTTTAGGGGTGACAGGTGGGGCGAGTTCACTTCATTTGAGGGGTGAGTTCACTTCATCTGAGGGGTGACAGGTAGGACGATTCCATTCCATTTGAGAGGTGACAGGTGGGGCGAGTCCATTCCATTTGAGGGGACACAGGTGGGGCGAGTTCACTTCATTTGAGGGGTGACAGGTGGGGTGAGTTCACTTCATCTAAGGGGTGACAGGTAGGACGATTCCATTCCATTTGAGGGGTGACAGGTGGGGCGAGTCCATTCCATTTGAGGGGTGACAAGTGGGGCGAGTCCATTCCATTTGAGGGGTGACAGGTGGGGCGAGTCCATTCTATTTGAGTTGTGACAGGTGGATGACCCCATTTCTTTTGAGGGGTGACATGCATGTTGCTACAAACAAATATTAAATAGTTTATGAATAGATTGCAAGATTATTAATTTATACTTTATATTTAAATTTAGTTATTCTTTCAGCGGGTTAGACCTTTAATGTCCAATTTAATTTTTACTGTGCATAATTACAAAGCTTAAAACCATTTCATTTTTAAATATCGCCAGGTTTCATAGAAAACCGTCATTCCCAAAAGAAAATTACACAATTTTTCCAGTTTGAACTTGAACATATATGTAATATTTCCCCTTTTCCCATTTTAATATTGCTGTACTGTGGATTTTATATCAACATGACAAAAATAACGAGGGATTATAGTAATATTTATTCGGATTTGATATAAGAGATATATGAAAATGAGCATGATATATGTCAACCAAAGACCTTGTTGCTTGCAGGCCCACGTTGCACAGTTTCTCCGTGGGCTTCTGAAATGACAAAATAACGCATAGAAATTTTGATTCATCAACTGACATACTGAGATCATTTTGACTTTTTCTAGAGAAGCGCAAAACATCTTATTTGAACATTTTCTTTCAAGAATATATGAAATAAATTACACATATAACTCGGATGAAAGTACAATCAAGTTTTAATATACGTAGTTGGTCGTGTAATGGAGGAACAGAATACGGCACACTGGAGACGGTAGTCAACCTGCGTAAACTTTCATATGTAAACCATCGCTTTATGAGCAATCGACATGTGCGTGAACGCGTGTTTTATTATATTAAAAACACTTACCTTACAAAAAGATCTTTGACAGCATGTCAATCTTTAAGCATAAATGGGTTGCCCAAGTGTAATCTGAAACAAGTAAGAGAACTTTAATAGGTATGTGGACCCTTATTCTTGTAGTAATAATAATAATAATAATGATAAAAGGATGTATTTTAAAAATTGCTAATTTTTCCCATGTAAAATTATCAATCCATTACAGTACATAAATATAAACCAAAATAAGTAGGGGTCATACAAAGATTTCACACGTGCAGAATTAAATATAGCTAGTTTGAAAGATTTAAAGCAAACTTATTGTTTCATCAATGGTCAGCTGATAGTACATTTCTCCTGTACGTGTGTAGTCCCAAAGCATTGTAACCAACATATTCTGACATTGTGAGTGACATACAAGTAACGAGGAGCATAATATTACAAGAAATCGCGCTACTAGTATCTATAATATATTTTCTACCATTCTGTTGCACTTGTGTTTTCTTGAGGGGGTTATTGAAGAGTTAGTGCTACTTACCATATACTTGCTTCTACGTCTTATAAAAGCTTAAACTTGTGAATTCACCACACATAATGTTGCGTCTTCGCTCATCTGTGCCCAACTGCAGAGTGAGTATTCAGCTTGCACTACGACGGGCAACTTATTGTTATGCAAATTACAACAGATTTGGCCCATTTTGGGTGAGAGGTTTTGGCTAAAACTGCTCACAAATGTTCACTGTCAAAATATTAACAGTACATTTTTGATACAACTGAAGTCCACGTGTTGTTAAAATATACTACTTAAATACAAAAACTACTTTCAAAAATCTTAATCGAATAAAGCGTTTTTATGACTCTGTCTGTATCTTAAAGATCCACAGTATTTCATGTAATTAAGCCAATCAGTAGGAATAGTTTAATATGGGCAGGACAAACGGCTCTTTCCTAAATAACTGGCGGCTACCCTTGTCATCCCGAGCAAAGTTGTATTGGTCACACATGATTTTTTTTTACTTTGATACCATTCTTTCTAAATATTATGTAGCTTTAAAAGACAGAGGTTCATTGAAAGAAACATTTTCAATTAACATTTGGAGTTTTAGTTTTGTATGATTTCCAATGGAGACAACAACGATTACGTGGCCATTTTAACATCTTTTCCCGAAAATAATATATTTGAAAATGGTCTTTGCCTATTTCTCCCTCTACCAAATTTTTTCGGGGCTCTTCAGCGGGCCCCGAACCTCTCGTCCGTCATGCTTTTGCTCTGTACACGTGACATCGCCCCATATCTACATATGTTCCCAATACTCCGCCTAACCCTAATCTTTACTTCATGTGGGACCCCGGACTTCCATTTCAAGGACTACCATTCCTGTCACACATGTTCCACATGGAAAAAATCCCACAATTTGTTTTGGACTTAAATGCATAAATGTTTTTCTCCTTTTGAAAATAATTTATTTGGCTGTCAGACCTATTTCTTCACATTGACAAATAGATGTTATCGTTTAATATTAATTCTTTTGTGTTATCTCCCTTCAAGGCCAGTGGATCTTGTACACACAAGACGCGGACGAGTACCATTTCATAGAAATAAATATAGATGAAAACCGCTAATAACCTTTTATTCAAGTTCCTTTTAATCACCAACAGCCCACACCATGTCTGACCAGGTAGACTCCCCGTACGAAGTAGGCCTAGCAATTTTATTTTTAACTTAAAATTTAAGGGCGCACTCCTCTTATTTACAACGGACTGGTTTATAATCAGTATATTCACCAGCTTTTTATGTATTTCAACTCAATGCGAAGAGGAGGCGTGTTAAATTTGTTAATCTGACTTCGTTCAGATATAGTCTTTGCAGAGTTGGATCGATCAACGTAGAACGATAGTTTCATTGGAAGTGAGCCCAAAGTGAAAAGTGACAAGTGAAGCACATGCGCAGATAACTACAATCTTAACTTCCGGTCTAGTTTCACCATGTGTAGGCAATGTTGATATCAGCAAGTGGGTGAGAAATTTGCCGGTTTCCATTTTGGATCTACGGTGAGTTTGGCAAGTGTGAGCATAACATTCAGAAATTGTTTGTCCCTCATTAAACTACTGAAACTTATTTACAGACAGCTGGAGACATTTAAAGACGCTGATCGGCGAAATCTTCCGAACATTTTCAAGAATGCGTTTGTTGTGGTGTAGATGCAAGTTGTTTGGCAGCTGGTGATTCAATTAAAATAATAATGTTCATTTGCACTATCTTCTCCAAACCTTACCAAAGATGTATAATTATGAAATTTGCCTACGGGAAGGTCCATTTTGATAACGTGAAGCTTAATTTTCAATTGCGGTTTACACGCTATGCTATTCCATCAAGTTCATAACCTACCTGTCTCATACGTAATGCTATATGTTATTAACTTCCTAGTGAAACGATGCCTCTTCCACGGTTGACGGGCGCACTGAGAGCGTTCTCTTCTGTGTCTGCCCAAGATTCAGACACGGGACAGAATGCCGACTTGTGCTCAGATCTGGCAAGAAGAAGACAGCTGGCAAGAGAGGAGCAAGCTAAAGAGGGGTTGTCCTGGAAAAAACTGAATCAGCTCATATCCAAGCATGCTAAAGCTGATGAAAAAGATGTTAATGCTCATTTAAGGCAACTTCTGCAAGCAGCAAAAACCCTCGGTAGGTATTACGAGACATTTGTGGGCATTTAAGGCATGCGGTCAACTGTGCTAAGAAGTTTTTGTTGCATATATTTACTAGTAAACACATTTCCCATATGGTTTTAGAAGTTTTGTTTTCTTCTCAACTGGTGAACAAACACTAGATTCTTTGATTGATTCAGAATTTTTTCATGAAAATCAATCTTTTTGCAGTTGGCAGTGACTCTGATACAGGCACCGTAGAGGGTGCAGCTGCATTTCTTGTGGACACCTTCAAGACCACAAAAACAGTTGGACAAAGGGAAAGCTCAAAATTACGCAGTTTATTCGGTCACTTTCCTGCAAGTGCAGCGACAAGTGCTTGTGATGCAGTGAGGAAAGTGGTAGACCTTCTCCCAGACTATGTTCTGGAGGAATTAGCAACACCCAGCGTCAGTGACAAGAAAGCAACTGTTACAGGGATAGAGGAGTTTGGGAAAAACATTCATTTTAATGCTGACGCACAGCTGGAAACAAGCTTTTCAGATTCAGAAACAGATGATGAATATGAAGAAGAAGCTAACCATGAGTTCGATCTCAGGTACGGCATGGGAGAGGATGAGTCTCAAGCAGCAGGGTTAAGTTATGATGGCAACTGGCTGCAGATGGAGGTAGCCAAAAGCTTTTCTGAGGACAGTGGGGTGTCAGTCCTTGATATCTGTGCTTCTGTATTTGATATACTTAGCTCTGCAAGATCTGATGAAGAGATTCAGAATGAGGTAACTGTCAGTAATAAACAATAGCATAGTGTAGTTCATGTCAGTAAAATACAGTTGTTTAGTATTAAAAAGGAGAAATTTTGTTGTTTTATGAAGAAATAGTCATTGGTAAACATTAAAATGTATGATGTGACAATACTTTTTATACTTTAAGTAATGAATTGCAGCCTCTTTAAATATTAAAACATTGTTATTAAAGTTTTCAATTTTATTTATTTTCAGCTGTTTGAGCTTTTAGGTTTTGACAGATTTGAATTGATTCTGAAGCTATTAGAGCATAGAAAAGATGTTATTGCAGCAACTTTAAGCACAGGCACAGATTACATGATGGCAAAGAGCACAGGTGGGATAGCTGTAGCAAGCAATTCTCTTTTTAAGACCAATAATTCAGACTCTCCTGTTAAAAAAAACATGGACTTTCTCCCCAAATGGTTATTTGCTTAATGAAAGACATTGTGTGTTGAAAGATGCACATGCATTTTCACTTAAGTTAATATTTACTTTTCAGGAAGAAAGACAGATCCATCTGCAAGGCCTAATTATGGTTGTCAAGTTACTATACAGGTAAGTGTATTACCATCACCCTTGATCAGATTCTCATCAAGGACAGTTGAAAATATTTAAAGGATGTAATTTATTAACTTCTTCTTAAAACTTATAGAAAAAATTATTTTATATAAATATAGGGGCAAACATTTATGAACAGATTTTGTATTTATTCATTATTTTTTAAAATTTGCTATCAGTTAAATAAGTGATGAATTGAATATTTTCTGTTAAGTCTGAGGGAGAGAAGCAACTTCGAAAGCAGCTGAGAAGGGAAGAAAAGAAAATGTCGAAGTTGGACAGCAAGAAGTTGCAAGAAGATGAACCTCTGATGCAAGCCCTGGGGTTTGATCCTGAAATATTGAGAGCACAGAGGTAAACAGCAATGAAAGACTATTATAGGCATTTTCAGATATGACAATGCAATCTAATCATGTGACTGACAATGAGGATACTGGAAGCTTATAAATCTGATGTGGTCATTTTGTGTCTTCATGTATTTATTACGGGGTGACAGATGGTTAGAGTTAGTTTAGAGGATTATGCTTTTCATACAGGCATTGTGTATGAGTATGTTGTTTATATTTTCAAATAGATGTCATAATTGTCATTTAAAAGGTATGAAATAGTTATATCATAAGTAATTGATTCTCAAGACTAAATGTTGATTTTTTTTTTGTTCAGGGAGCAGGCATTAATTACTGCAGCAACTGCTCCTCTGTTCTCCCAGAGGTCTTCAAGAGCACCAGAGAGAATTCAATACCCAAATGTTTTTGACAGTTTTGCTGAAGCACAACAATCATCTGCTTTTGTGGGAGGAAGCAAGGTAATTGATTAAATAGTTTGACTTCATAAGGGTAATTGATATTATGGTTTAACTTGATAGTCATGAGATCTAATTTGGTGTTGGATTAGTTGTATTATGCATTATGTATTATGCATAATAAGTTTAATTGACTTCAACATCAGTATTGGTTAAGGCGTTGATTAAATGTAACCAGATGACAAGTAAAGGGACAGACTTTAGAACATAAACTAATTTTGAACAATTTGTTTCCAAAAATTTCTAGTTTGGAATAAACCTTTGTTATCCATATTATAAAGAGATTGCTACCCACAACCATAAGAATTAGAATAAATGTATTTAAAGTACATATTTGAAACATTTGAGGTTAAATAAGATGTAGATACCTGTGTCTATGATAGATAAGATCTCTTATACATTCATTACTATTATGGTCCTAGAAAAATGTATTTATATTGTTATCATTATTATAGATGCTCCTACCAGAGGGCTTTGAACGAGTCAACTGTAAGATGTATGAAGAGGTAAACCTTCCAGCTTCTGAGAAAGCTCCAGTGAATGTTGGGTGTCAGCGTGTGCAAATATCTGCTCTTGATGAGGTGAGAAATGACTGTCAAAATCTGTGTAAGAATTTAGGCTTTTTATTTCAGACTATTGTTGTGGTAGAGCAGTTGGAGAGGTCTTAATTAACTTTAATATATAACAGTTATGGAAATGTCACTGAAAATGTAATAGATACAACAACAAGCATACATATTTAGTTTCTACAATTATAAGCATGCAATTATAGGCATTATAACACAATAATCTTGAAAAAATGAACCTTTTCAGATTGCCAGGCTTGCTTTTCAAGGCACAGATTCATTGAATCGAATTCAGTCTGTTGTGTTTGATACTGCATACAAAACCAACGAGAATCTTCTGATCTGTGCCCCCACTGGAGCAGGGAAAACTAACATAGCCATGCTGACCATTCTGCATGAAGTGAAGCAGCATATTGACCAGGGGGTGATAAAAAAGGACGAGTTTAAGGTAAGGGATATCCCAGAGTGCAGTTGCTAAGTTTAATCTCTACTTGGTTGTTTTGACAAAGAAAAATAAATAATATAACAATTTATTTTTTCTTAAAAAATTTATTAATGATTTATTATTTTTTTTCTGAAATTGCCTGCTTACATGATCCAAAGAGAATATTCATATTTAAATGAAAGATGTAAAGTAATTTTGTTCATTAAAAGGAATTGGAAAGAAAGAGGGAAAATAATTCATGAAAATGCATTTCCATTATAACTATATTCTTATATTTAGATGTGTATATTCCTAGTAGGTTGCAATAAGCACTGAGAGTTTACTTTACCACATGCTGTGAACAAAAAAATATTAGCAAAATTTATAATTATTTGCCCTCCAAGTGGTTTAATAGTGAGATGAAGTAGACCAGTTTCAAAGTTTGTACTTTCTTGAAGGTGGTATATGTGGCCCCCATGAAAGCCCTGGCAGCAGAGATGGTGCGGAACTTTGGTAAGAGACTGCAACCACTGGGAATAACGGTCAAAGAACTCACTGGGGACATGCAGTTGACCAAGCAAGAGATCATGCAAACACAGGTGAGAGCTGCAGCAGTCATTGATATTGTATATTTATAAGGGCAGGATTCTTGCTCGATTTTTACATTCCCTTTTTCTTTATGTATAAAGGAGGAGGGATTAGAAAGAGTTTTGTATGAAATGAAATGATAGGAAATTGGGAAGTTTAGTGAAGGGGGAAATCTTTTCCTTCTTTTATTAGCATTATTTTAACTAATTCTTTTTATAGATTGAAATAAATTAAGATGTGACAAGAGAATAGTGTCAAAGATATAGAGAAGATACAAAGGTTTGATATTAGTGCTAAACTTAAAACATGGAAATGACCTCATTTCATGGCTGCAATGATTATAAATATTAATATTATTGTTATTATTTGGTATTCAGATGCTGGTGACAACACCAGAGAAATGGGATGTGGTGACAAGGAAAAGCACTGGAGATGTGGCCCTGTCACAGCTGGTCAAGTTGCTGATAATTGATGAGGTCCACTTACTTCATGATGACCGAGGGTCGGTCATAGAAAGCTTGGTGGCCAGGACTCTCAGACAGGTGCTAGTGGTTATGACAAGCTTTTTGCCTTTTTCTTCCTTTCATGGTACACATTATTTATTGCACCACCAGCATTGGTGCTGGCGGTACACATGGTTTTAGTCCCGTCCGGATTGTTCTGCCGGCTCCGTTGGCTCCGCTGCCATGTTACCGTTACCGCTTCTCCTCCTAGACGGTAAGGGCCTCCGTACCCATCTCTTGGATTTAGGTCACCTATAATCTCAACTCGTTCCACGTAAAATTTGGGCTTTGTCAGTATTGGGGTCTAGGGGTGGCACTCATTGCAATGCACCCTTGTCCAAAAATGGCAAAATTAAATGCTAATTATCTACCCTACGGAAGGAATTATGGGAAAAATTTCTACAGACGACTTTCCATAAGTCATATGTGTAGATTTTAAATATGCCCTTGGATTTGACCTTTGACCTTTATTTCAAGGTCAAATAGCCAAAATTTTCAAAAAAAACGAAATTTTTTACGAAAAAAAATTATTTGCGCTGTTATTCAGACACCACACAGACTTAACCAATAATATTATTGGAAAGAGTTACCTTTCGGGTCATCTTTCATCTCCATGGATTTGGGGTCAATCGGTGCATTTTCACGGGATTAGTGGCCATAAGATACCGAAACTGAAAACTGTCTCTAATTCGGGAACCGTTAATGCTAGAGACCCATTCTTTTTTGCATTTTGTAGAGCATGTAAAGCCCAACACTGGAAGTGTTTTTGTATTCCATACGGTTTTCGAGTTACACTGTATCAAAAAGTACATATTGGTGGTGAAAGCAAAATGTGCAGTACGGTAATGGATAATAAATTTTGAACCCTGGAAAAATTTAACATAAGGCTTGGCAAGGCAGACAACTTGTGGTCAAAAATGACATTATTTCATCAAATTTGAACATTTGGAACTTCAGAGCACCTCCCATT